GTTTGTATGGTGAAGAATCAGCGGTTACCTCTTCTATCCAGTAATTTTTAAGTGTTGGAAAGTGTTGCAGAGGATATGAAAATGGCACGGCCGTCTGAAAAACAAACACCAATGCTATTCTCTACAGTCTACACACAAAACGAACGCTGATCTAACGTTACGGTGAAAAGTATAGATATAGTATTTCATTTAACTCTAGAGCAAATAATATTTGCAACAAAGGGGTTGGCCTACACAGGGTCAAGTGCACAGTATGCCAAAGCTATGAGACTAAGAGTATTTCTCTTTCCCCCACCCATCCCCCGGCCGCAATTGGATGTTACTCCCAGCACTAAATCTTCTGGTGTTCATTGGGTAAGAGATATTCAAATGTTTTGTTCTGTTTTATTTCGCTCGCGCTCGCGCTCGTGTATCGCGTTTTGCGCTCTGCCACGTTAATCCGCTTGTTCTGCAGGCTATCTAAGAAATAAGGAAACATTCCTAGGAATTAAACATCAAATATATACATATATATATATGTTTAACTTGGTATCTCGAAACGGTGTTCAAGTACAAAGCCATTATGAATCAGGCCCCAGTTGTTCAGAGAATGCACAACACTATCTGGACCTGATAAATCACTATCTGGTGGATAGCGTGGTTTGATTTGCCAAACACCTATCCGCCGGATAGCGGTTTATCCGATGGATAGCGTTATTCACCCTTCGAACAACCGGTGCTTGATGTGTATCAAGTAGTAAAGTCTCAACAACGGTTCTCTTTGATCCTTTTACAAGATGTGACCAGACTTGTGATGGTGCACTTGCCCCGATGTCCAGGTCATCAGGATTTTCTTCATCAATCTGAGCCCCAATCAACATTAAGATCTTTCCATCAGCGTAGATGCATGGCGACTGAGATGAGAGCAGGAAAGGCACAGGCAGCCCAACATGGCAAATTGCTGTGCAACTGTTCACATCATACAGGGTTATTCTTCTACTCTTCGTCACGGCAACAATCTGAAAAAAAGAGAAACAAGTGGATAAATTTGGACAATGTCTGCTTTGGACTGCTTGGGCTGAGAATCAGCCGATACGTTGCTAGGAGTCCATCGCTTGCAACCCATTCCTCTTGGGACATTCACTTGCAACTGCTCTTTTCCCCAGAATAACCGGATGAGAAAATATTATTTGATCCTCCCACATGAATCAATCGATTCCGAAACGGTTTTAGTTATTGATAAACCAACGAGCACATTTCAGTGGTCACTGCAGTCTTCGGCACGATGGCTAACTTACGGATTCTACTGATACACAAACTCTCTCTAGATGCAAAAAGGTTATCCAGGCACCGGTAAGAGGTGTCAAAATGCGCAAGCAGTGAGATATAAAAGTCACTTTCTTCTCATTTTGTTGCTGTGTGTTTTTTGTCCATATTTACTATCAAAGAATTTCAGCGGGCTCGATCTTCAGTGAGACCTGGATGTAGCTTTCATAAGATCGATCGACTACATGTATCACAGACTTTCTCGTTCAAAACCTTTCGCCTTCCATGACTGTATAGCTTGGGCACAATTTTCACGCTTTACAACCAAAGATTAATAAGCACCTGAGGCGTATTAAAATCTCAAAAATAAGCTGTGGAAAATTCCTAAAATATCGGTCACATTGCCATTTCTTCACGCTAGATACTAGTATTCTGAGACACTTTGCTTTGTGCTCACTAAATGACCATGTATTATCAATGACAACTAGTAGAGGTAGTGTTTAGGGTTGTTTCTTACCACTTGTGGTGCTTGGCGCATTGTAATAACCTTCGTGATGACTTCAGTGTCAAGGGCTGATCTAAAAAACACGAGTTTAAATACAGGTCGTTTTTAACTTTATACAATTAACATAGTGACATCTCATTTCTTGAGGTAAGTTTGTTTTCTTAACACAACCCTGAAGCCCATTTCTCGAAAGCCCCGGAAGCTATACGGGCCCGCAAAGCCGTTTTTAGTTAACCTATATCTAGAACCAGAAAGGTGTATACGCCCGAAACTTATTGTATGAAGGGAACTTCTGGTCATATTAAGAATATGTAAATAAAACAGCTCTGTAATCATAAGGTTTGAGATTTTGCTACGACTTTCCGGATGCGAAAACTTTTCGGGACCTTCGAGAAACGGGCCCCTGGTTAGTACTTCTATGACACTTCATGTCGCGGTGCGCAAAACCTAATTTTGGCCAGCACATGTCTAGCAATTCAACGAAAGCTAGCGAGTGTTATTACATAATTTACAGGCTATTAATTTTTGAGNAAATGACCATGTATTATCAATGACAACTAGTAGAGGTAGTGTTTAGGGTTGTTTCTTACCACTTGTGGTGTTTGGCGCATTGTAATAACCTTAGTGATGACTTCAGTGTCAAGGGCTGATCTAAAAAACACGAGTTTAAATACAGGTAGTTTTTAACTTTATACAATTAACATAGTGACATCTCATTTCTTGAGGTAAGTTTGCTTTCTTAATACGACCCCGAAGCCCGTTTCTCGAAAGCCCCGGAAGCTTTACGGGCCCGCAAAGCCATTTTTAGTTAACCTATATCTAGAACCAGAAAGGTGTATACGCCTGAAACTTCTTGTATGAAGGGAACTTCTGGTCATATTAAGAATATGTAAATAAAACAGCTCTGTAATCATAAGGTTTGAGATTTTGCTACGACTTTCCGGATGCGAAAACTTTTCGGGACCTTCGAGAAACGGGCCCCTGGTTAGTACTTCTATGACACTTCATGTCGCGGTGCGCAAAACCTAATTTTGGCCAGCACATGTCTAGCAATTCAACGAAAGCTAGCGAGTGTTATTACATAATTTACAGGCTATTAATTTTTGAGTTTTATTCCCCTCTGTCACGCAGCGTTCATTTTCATGAAAACTGCTGAGCATAAGTCAGGTCAACATTGCATGATGGGAAAGCACGGGAGATGTGGTGCACAATTTTACAGATCTATTGCGCTGGTGTTGTCCAAAAAGTATTGATCCTTCATGAGACACTCGCCAAAAACACACTTCACTGGTAGCGTTAAAAGCTA